GCCAAATCTATCTTGTTAGTAAACGGTTTTGAAAACAAATTTTTGTAAAGGTCGTCTGCACGTGTATCCCCTTTAACATCTGCTCTAGTATCCCAACGGTCATCTCCATGTCTCTCACCCAAATCTCCGCCAAACAGCCCCAGGTAAAAAGGAAACTTTTAGCAACTGTAAAGTTTTGGAATGCGAAAACGACAATTGATCAGTATGATGTGTGTTTTAGATGTTGATTTAAAACACATTGTTTTATAAGTAGCTTGAAAATAATCTAATTATGTAAAAAAAAAGTTCTAACTTTAAATCTTAACTTACAACAAACAGTTGTTTGCCTTTTACACAGCTGCATAGGTCCCAATGTAACAAAATTAGATATTTTTCCAGTTCTTTTTACCTTTATAGGCTTTGAATTGAAAGTCTTCTTATAACGATTCTTCTTCAACTTTAATCTATAAAACTTACAAAATATTATTGAAATTTAATCTAAACGCAAGAAATAAGGACTTGTTACTGGAGTGAGTTTGCGACTAATAAATCCTTTAGTTTTTATAATAATAACTCCTACAGTATTTATAATGATAACTCCTATAGTATTTATAATGATAACTCCTATAGTATTTATAATAATAACTCCTATAGTATTTATAATAATAACTCCTATAGTATTTGTAATGATAACTCCTATAGTATTTATAATGATAACTCCTAAAGTATTTATAATAATAACTCCTATAGTATTTAAAATAGTAACTCCTATAGTATTTATAATAATAACTCCTATAGTAATTAAAATAATAACTCCTATAGTATTTATAATGATAACTCCTACAGTATTTATAATAATAACTCCTATAGTATTTATAATGATAACTCCTATAGTATTTATAATGATAACTCCTATAGTATTTATAATAACAACTCCTATAGTATTTATAATGATAACTCCTATAGTATTTATGATAATAACTCCTATAGTATTTATAATAATAACTCCTATAGTATTTATAATAATAACTCCTATAGTATTTATAATTTTAACTCCTATAGTTTTTATAATTGGCCCAACGCCGTTACGAAAAAAAAACATTTTTTGGGGGTTCAACCTAGTAATTTTTCAGAAAATAGTATTTATGTTTACTGCTTCTTTAGTTTGAAGGGACAGAAGACGTAATGTCCAATGACCCTCTATTTACAGCCTGATTCACGATGGTACCCTTACAAGATTAGTCTCGTCAGAAATTGATGAGTTATCCATTATTTCCACTTTTACAATTGGCTATTTTTGATAGTGGTCGCACGATTTAAAAATGACTTGAGGATTGCGTGCAACAAAAACAAAAGAGGAAATTGTGAGAAATTTGTCAAGTTAGAAAATGACGAGATATCTCACATTATATAGTTATCAGATAAATTTTTTTAGTTTAAAAAGTACCATTGTGAATCTGGCATAGCCCTCTCTAAAGAAGTTTCACTAGAAATTAAAACGTCTGCCCCTTTATTATTCATGAATAATAATGTAAACAAACAATGTTCAGAACGGAAATTGCGGATTTCTCAGCAGAGTTTAGAGATGTGTTTATAAACAAAGTTCGGGAAATAGACACCATGGCAGACTTCATGTGGGACTGGAGCAGTACACCTGTACTTCCTAAGGTACATAAACTTTTCTTTTTTGAAATTATCAAAACTGATTTAACGCTTTATACTATAGTTTCGAAATTAGATTAGTATTTACGATTTTGTTAGTGTTTCTCATTTATAAGCAATATGTTTTTGCATTTTTATTTATCTTTTAGTGATTTTTAAATATTTACGAGGCATACAATTTATTTCACAATTTGAATTTTCTCTTTTTTGATATTTAGAAGTATTTCATTTTAAAATATTTTATCAATTTTGAATAATTGAAATGCATCTTTTTCTGTTGTTTTCTACTTGTGAACATGTTCTCTTTGTGTACATCGTTAAACAAAACAAATAAAAATTCGCGGATTTTAACAAAAAATTTCGTGGTTTTTAAAAATTTTCAAAAATTTAATTAAAATCAATTTTTGATAGAGACAAATTTTAGAAATTTTAATTATATATAAAACTTCCTTGGGGCCACGTGAGGCCCCACACAAAATTTGGGCCTGATCCGTTCAGCCGTTTTGACGTTTATTGGATACAAACACCCTGACAACAAGATAAATTTATATATAGAATTATTTTAGACAGAAAATCAGTTAAACGAAAAGAATGAACCCCATTAAGAATTCGGCTTAAAATTACTGTCGTTCCGAATTTCAAGTATTTTTTACTATAAAGATAATAGTAATGTTTAAAGTAATGATGATATTAATAATTAGTAAACAATTATTACCTAGAAATCAAAGACAGTAAGGTTTTTGAGTTCTTCTGAAGCTTATCTCTTATTAGTTTAATTTATAAAAAGAACCTTTTTATGAGTTTTGTTGGAAGAATAAAAGAGGTTTTAGAATTTTTTAATCTAAAAGTAAACAAACTTAACACAAACGATAAATAAATACAAAATAGTCAGAAATATTACGTCATCGGCATTGTATTGCAATACATAGATAACTTTATTAATTGACTCAATAATTTAATAAAATTGAAGACCTCAATATGTTTTACTTCAAAAAAAGTGAAAGTCACAATCATGAATAATTAAAATTGAAAATAAACAAGTTTTAGTATTAAATTAAAACACGTCTACGCACGCGTAAGAGATAAATTGACAGTTAACTTAAATTTTTCATAACTTGTCAAAAATATTTTTGTGTTTAATTTAATTCTACTTTTAGATGTAGGAATAACTTGATAAAAACGTCAAATTTTTAAACTTATTTATTTTTAAATTTTTAACTATTACAGCTCATGTCCAGTTTACAAACACGATTTTATTTTTACTTTTCCCAGAAAAAATGACGGTGATTTCCTTGTTTTAAAACTGAAAAGGGATAATTTAAAATAAAACTCTATTTTAGGATTGGAAATGTGGAACTCAAACTCCATGTGTATCCGGATACAGAGGGAGTTTAGGGAGCTCTAAACCTGAGTCTAAGAACTCCTTGTCTACCCTGTACACCTTCCTGATGAGCAACCTGGTGTCCCTGCTCCTCGGGGCGGGGCTAGGGGCCTGGCTCTACAAGAGATCAACCTCACCGATCAAGGTTCTGTAATAGAGAAACTCCATTCTGGGTCTAAACAAAAACAAAGTATATTCCAAACTGATCATCCTGGGTCTAAACATAGACAAAATGAATTCCAAACTGATCATGCTGGGTCCAAACATAGACAAAATGAATTCCAAACTGATCATCCTGGGTCCAAACATAGACAAATTAAATTCCGAACTTTAAGTTTTTATAATAAATATTGTGGGACTACACTAATATCATTAGAAGAGGATGTTTAATCGTGTAAACTGCCCAAAGTTGCCCAGAGGGTGGTCTCATACTTCAAACCGCAGTCTATAGTGACATATACAAAATATATTCTATACTGATCAGTATAGATATGTTCTCTTACCTTTGGGCAATGTACTGCTATGTAAGCATATGTAAACATGTGTTCTGTAGTATTTTGCAGTACACTGACCGAAGATATAGTAAAGTTTAGGGGAGAGTGATACATCATATCTCTGAAATCACTATATTGTAGTGTACTGTACATGTACTGTCGTACATAAAGGTTATTGTAGATACATCTCTGAATGCTGTTTAACCCATTAATGATGGAATAGTGTAATTGTATTTAACAAAACCAAATCTAGACTAAACTAAATATTATACTTGCTTTTACTCTCAACTCTAATGCTTACTTACTTTTTTTTACACAACAATGCAAAAATATTTTTATATGTACATTGAACAATGTACTTGCCTGTAAAGGGATTGTCCCTTAAAATTGATTAGGTCCTAAATTCAGAAGCAAGTATATATTACAAATTATTTAAAACTTTTTATTTTGAAAGAAATTATATATAAAATTATACTTAAGAATTGTTGTAATGTGTCAATCTTTAAAATAGCTCTTGTCAAATTTTCCAATCAATGGAAATCAATGAAGTTTAAGTAAACTAAAATCTAAAAACCAGAAGTTTCAAACTTTAGGAAGGAAAAAAACTTATTCTGATTGTAATCATTGTGATCTTATCCTCAGATTTATCCAATTCAACACAAAAAGGAACTGATTATTTGCCACAAACTCAAAATTTTCAAATCGCTTTATCTTTGCAACCTGATGGTGTATACTTTTGACGTTGTAAACTTGTACTGCTAGATCTGACAGAATATATAGTTTAAAATATGAGGTATACGTCTGACAGAATATATAGTTTAAAAAATGAGGTATACGACATCGGGTTGCAAAGAATATGGATTTAAAGAATCAGAGCTTGTGCTAAGAACTCAATTCCTTTATCAAAACGGTAAAGCATTTTATTCTCTTGGAAAAGGGATTTGAATTCAGCAATCAAACCTTTGGCGGACGGGCTTAATCGCTTGGTTCGGTTTTAAAATCGGAGAAGTTTGAAATATCAAGATTTAAATCATCAGGTTGTAAAGATAAAGGGATTGGAAAATTCAAGTTTGTGGTAAAGATCCAATTCCTTTTTAAATTGTTAGTTCTTTGCGCTAGGCCAAATTTTACCCCTGAAAGATGATATTTTCTCACTAAATTTTCTCCTAGAATAAACATTTGGCATAGTTGAATAAAAGCAAGCTTCACAAGTTCACGGCATTTCTCTGGGGCCTTTTAAAAATAAACAAAAAAACCCGAAAAATTCTTAAAAAGCAAATCAAGTTATTGACTATCAATTGTTTGAACATGTCTTGTCTAATTTTGCTATTTCTATTAATATTTTTATATTTGTTTTATACTAAGCCTGCTTTTTCTGTATTATTCATCCTGTGTTATTGTATGCTTTAAAAATATTCCATTTTAGAAAATTGTATTCATTCTTTCAATAAATATTTAATCTTATCTTGTGATAATTAGTTTAAAGTTATAAACTCTTTTCAGAAAATATGATATTTCAAGACTGGGTGGAGTGGAGGGGGGAGAAATCAAGGAAACGAACTCCAATAAAAATAAACGAAATTTTAAATATTGAAAATCATGTTTTTTATGGTCATTGTTTGTGTTACTGTTATTGAAACTGTTTGTGTTACTGTTATTGAAACTGTTTATGTACTGTTATTGAAACTGTTTATGTTACGTTATTGTTATTGTCACTAATATTAAGCTCTGTGGAAATCTCTTAAAGAGCTGCTGGATAGTTATCTGTCTCTACTAGAAAGTAACTCAAATATATAACAGCGTGAAAACAATTGTGTTTAACAATAAAAAGCTTTTCAGTAGAATACTAAGGGTATGTTTAAAATCCTTGATCCGGCAAATATTTAAAGGGTACCGTTGTGAATCCTTGATCCGTCAAATATTTAAAGGGTACCGTTGGGAATCCTTGATCCGTCAAATATTTAAAGGGTACCGTTGTGAATCCTTGATCCGTCAAATATTTAAAGGGTACCGTTGTGAATCGGGGAAGACTTACAGAGCCGTTCCTTCTTGTACATATTTTAGAATAATAACAATATAAATCGGAGATAGCTCTTTATTTGTTGATGGATCTTTAAAATCTTTTTGGTCAAAAAAATAAAAAAATTACAGAATGTATCTAAGATTTTTTCAAGGTTGTAATGCAAGGAAAGCTAATTGCAGTTGCGTATACTCTGCGTACATATTGAAACCAGTTCTCTCTAGGCGGAATTTGTAAACAAGAAAAGATGCATCATTGTTCGTTTAGTATCCGAGGAGGATAAAAGCATTGAATTTTGATAATTTTGATAATTAACATAAGAGTTTCCTATGACCAGAATATTTCATCGATTTTTTATGTGAAAGATGGATCACATATCAGACTTCGACATCCGTCTTTTGTTTACATTAGCGCCCATAGACAGTACACTGCGGTACAAAAGATGTGTACACTTCTGAAATAACTTTCCTTGCATTACATCCTTGGATTTATTTTTGTAATTGTAAAAGAATATTGCTCGACGAAATTTGGATTTGTTATATTTTCCGCCTCTCTTGGTGCTTTTTATAACAGAAATAATTGTTTTTAAAATTATCCTTTAATGACTGGATGTTTGATAGCGTGGTTGGTGTTGGGCATAGAGTATCAGGAAGTTTGAATAATCTTCATGATAAAGAGATGTTTTTGATTATCCCAGGTAGAAATAGGAAGATTTTAAAAATTTTAACATTTTTGCAAAAAGCATTTCGATGTAACGAAGATTTTGTTCTAGATTTGGAACAAAATTGGGGTAAACCTTTGATATTTCAAACTTAGATTAATTGATCTAAGAGAATTCATAACTTAAAGCATCAAAGGTCTATATTATTGGGTAACAAAGATAGTTTCCTTAAAGGGAAAATGAAAGGGAGTAGAGGCTAAAACCTAAGCATTTTAGGAGTTGATCGAAACCCAAAAGAGTTCTATCTGATGTTCCTGTCTTGAGAAATTGATATAAAACTGTGTCAACTTTATACGATCATCAAATAGAACTCTTACAGTTCTCGATCAACTCCTAAAAAGCTTAGGTTTCAGGTTATACTCCCTTTCATTTCTCTTTACAGTCCCTTTAAATCCCGGACGTACATTTAGTAAAATCCAACAAAATGATCGTAAAATCGAAATGCTTTTGCTAGATCGATATTGCTGACGAATAGATAGGATTTTTAGGAATAAGAATCATGTGATATGCAATATGCAGTAGGTCGGAAATGCCAGTTTAAAAATATTCGGTTTACTTAAAAGTACGTCTTATAGTCCCTTTAATACCCCTACTGCAGATGCAACAATAATGCATTTTAAATGCATTTTCAGTCCTTAAAGCGATGCATTTTTACTGTCTTCAAACATGTTTCATTAAATGACTTCAGCTTTCAACCTATTCTATTCTATTCTATTCTATTCTATTCTATTCTATTCTATTGATTCTTGATTTGACATTTAATAACTATTTATAACATACCCCACTAGCTTAGTGTGTTTGTGAAAGAGAAACAAACCAACCCATTTGTCCAGGAAACCCTGGTTTGGCTGGATTCTACCAGGAATTTATGAAAAGTTTGCATGGTAAAGTCGGAAACCCTGACCTCTCTATCTGGGCTCTCTCACATGCCGGTCATCATAGACCGGAAGTATCCTGGATTCCCGCAGGTACAAAATATACTGATTATTCGACTCGAATTTTTCAATACATACAGGGTGTCCCAAAAAAAACGATCTTTAAGACATTGTAGCATTCGCCAAGGTTCAATTTTTAAAAAATTGTACATTTTTTAAATCTTTGGAACATTTCCGATCGATTGATTTTAATTAAATGTATGTAGCACTAAAATTTAGGAAGTATTGACCGTTTGAAGTTTGTCATTTTGGCTTGGTTGAAAATTGAAATTGACATTGTAATAGGTAAAACAAAAAATTATCACTGCATATTCATATTTTAATTCAATATATGAAAATTATGGTTTACAATTACAAAAATGATATAGAATATTGATACAAATACATGTTTATGGTCTTTCTACTCAAAATGCCCCCATGGTTTGCAATACATTTTTCTATTCCTTACATCCATAACTGCTCTCCTCTAGCAACATGTCGAGATCTTCCACTGAATGAATTTCCAGGACTTGTCTTACTATTCACATTGAGTACTGTCCCTAGCTCCATTGCCTTTTTATAAATTCTTCTGACATGACATAAAGCAGGCTGTCTTGCACATAGAAATTTGCGCCCAAAGTCCATGATAAGACCAGGCATAAAGTTTTTGTCACCCGTTCTTTTGTGATACTCAAAAGCAAGGAAGTTTCTTTCCTGTGTTATAAACTGAGGTCTTGCCATTATGTAACAATAGTTGCGCATTTTTAAGATTGTTTAGAAGATTTGAATGTTTTTCAGACACTAATAAAGTTCCATAATATTTATAAAATTCGAAAAAATCAATTCCTGAACTCAACTGAGCCAAAATGACAAACTTCAAACAGTCAATACTTTCTTAATTTTAGTGCTACACACCTCTAATTGAAATCAATCGATCGGAAATGTTCCAAAGATTTAAAAAATGTACAAATTTTTAAAAATTAAACCATGGCGAGTGCTACAATATACACTCTGTATATTTTTGCAGCCAAATAGACAATTGTAACCTATCTGATAAATCACCAATCATGCATAAAGTTTTTTTAAAAACTGTAAGATATTAGGTTGCAAAGATATAAACATTTTTAAAAAGTGTTCTTTTACTGCTAAAGTTAAAGTTTCTTAGGTAGACTATAGTTAACTGTTAGTACTTTTTTAAAATTCATTTTTTAAATTCGTTTAATGTTAATTGAATTAACGTAGCAGTGGACCTATAAAGTATCTGTTTTTTATTATAGGGAGGGACTGGCAATGTATGGTTAAACTGAGAATGTAGTATTGTCGAGAAATTGTTTAGGATCCATTTGAGATAACGTTTAAATTATGTATACAGTATAAATTACTAAGTTTAAGCGTAAATTCGACGTTCAATTTGAGTGGTTACGTTTTGAGAATAATTTTTTTTTGAAATTATCAAATAACAAGGACAAAAGTGTTAAAAAATTCTACAGTAAACATGTTTAGGAACATATTTCTCAATTGAAATGTTCTCAATAAATCAATGTTAGAATTAATTATTTCTTTTTCATTATTATATTTAGTTTCTTATTCTTTATGACTTTGTTAGCAGATTTCTTCAAATTCTTCAAATGTCGCTTTTAAATAAAAATTCCAGGGAATCTACAGAAAATGTTTGAGAACAATGAAACATTACAGAAACCAAAAACTGAATAAGCTTACTTATTTTCGATGATAATAGTTCATTTTCATTTTCTCAACCTGTTCCTAAACAACTTATTAGTTTACTGTAGAATTTTTACTACATTTTATTGTCGTCGTTATTTAATAGTTTTTTTAAAACCGCTTCTCCAAATCATTACACAAAAGTGAACAATCTATGCGGATTTTAACGATTAAATTTGTGCTATCGCTGAACAAATATGCACCGTAAAAACGTCTGAGAGGTCTTAAACGATTCCTAAAAAACTTTCTCAGTTCAACGAACATACATTACTGGTAACTCCCTTTAATATCCAAATGTACTTTCTGTTTCGTAACGGAATTTACAGATCTTCTATTTTCCGTTGACTTTTTAATCTTCTTTTCTCCGTATATTTTCAAACTTACATTTTCCGTTAATTTTCTAATCTTCCGCTTTTCGTTAATTTTCCAATCTTCTGCTTTCCATTAATTTTTTTAAATTTCCTTTTTCCGTTGATTTTTTAAATTTTACATTTACCGTTTTTTTTTAATTTTCCATTTTCCGTGGATTTTTAAATTTTCCATTTCTGATGATTTTCTTAAATTTCCGTCCATTAATGGAACTTAGCCCAGCCCTAATTGTAGTCCCTTGGCCCCTTAGTGACAAAAAATATGCAGAAAGAAAGTTATTTATATAAACAGAATCAATAAGATAAACATGTGAGAATTAGAAATTAAGTAATCAATAAATCACTGGTCAAAAGTGTATTTTCAGACCCTAAATATACTTTCAAGGATCATTATAAAATCTTTGAAAATTAAGTACGTTGTATATGGCGGAATTATACAACGTAAAAGACTATATTACTGATATGAAATGAATCCTAATATTATATTCTAAAATGCAATATTTTCAGCTCAACTACACCTCCCCCCTCTATGCCAAATGAGCGATTTTTTATTGAATAAAATTGGTTTGTTTGGTTTTGTAATTTAGAGTACCTCCAAGAAGTTGTGAAGCTTTAAAGAGAAATGAAAAAATCAAACTTCATTAGAATCGCTTCAATTCCCGAGTTTTTGCCACAAACTCTAATATTATAATACCTAAATCTTTGCAACCCAACGTCGTAGACATTTGATATTTCAGTCTGTTAGACAAAACAATATAAGTTTGAATTATTAAAGGTTTACACCATCAGGTTGCAAAGATATAGAGAAAATGTGAGTTTGTGGAAGAAAAGTTACTTCTGTGACCAAATTCAATGAATTTGCGGTGTCACTGAACTGCTTACCGCCGGTTCAAATTTGAAATAACGATTCAAATCCTTCCTGAATATTTCAAATTTTAATCGGAACTAAGTTATTCAGCGACGTAGATCAAATTCATTAAATTCGACTCAGGTAAACAATTTTCGTTTTTATAATGCCTTTTTTATGACCCCTATCAGAAAAAACCTACGGGTTCGAGGAACAAATTCTTCATAAACTTGAACTCATAGATCGTCTAATTCCACAATCCACCAGGTAAACTTCTATCTATCATGGGGGGTATTATTATTATTATTATTTTTGTTATTCTTATTATCATCACTTTAATCATTATTAATTTTAATATTATTATTATTATTATTCTTAATATCATTATTATCCTAGAATAACTTTGATCGGACACTCTATCGGCTGTAAGATAATTATGGAAATATTTAAACGAAATTCTACACATTCCTTTACAGGTTAGATATTTTTATTCATAAACAGCACAATAAATATATACTCTCATAGCTTTGTTTACATATTAAATGTACTGCAGTTTCTGGGAGAATTGTAAACAATTTTAAGTACTGCTCTGAAACTGCAGTTCTTATTTGTAGTTTACTGGATTGATTGATTTGGTTTAATTTGATTTAGCTTCTGATTATAAATTTTAACAGTGAGACCCATAATACTGTGGAATAGGAAGACGACTATTGGACTCAAGTTAGGATTTCAAATAGCCCAATAACTGTAAGAACACAGCAATTATGCGGAGTACACCGACCCGGCCAATTCACACTAAAGTTACTGATAAAAATATTGCTTTGTAACCATATCAATTTCAAATAAGATTGTGAAAATGTCTTCTTCCTAGTCCATAGTTTTAGAGGGTTCACTGTATTCTAATATTCATTTTATTTCCAACTAAGATGCTCTTTTGCTTTTAGTTTAAAATAGTAAATTTGCATTTATAGATATTAGAACTTATATTAAACATATATTCTGATATAAATCTGCAAAACATCTGTAAGAATCATTATTCTTAAATCATAAAAACATTTGTAGAAAATGATCAAGTACCAATTCTATATTTAATAAGTACAAGAAAAATATTTTAAAAAACAATGAAATTCATAAAAAAAATGCGTTTCTATATTACTTATAATCGCAGTAAACTTGAGATCCTGGTTATTAACATTTACTCAGTGAGCCTTGCAACTCCTTTTCGTATTTTCTATTATTATACTTTCCTGTTTGAATATACATTTTAAGGATTAAAGTATAAAGCCTTTGCGATAATTTCGTCTCGTGTTGAATTTTGGATAAAAATGTGACTGAAAATATATTAATAAAGACAGGATGTACTTTGATGTAATAAGTTTTACTCTTACAAAAATCAGAATGTTGCCAGTTATTCCTTTTAAACCGAAGCTAGAAATAAGAACACTTTGTAAATTTAGAAAGTATACTTGATGTCTGAAGCTACAAAAAGTGAGTTAGTAAAGTAAACCCAAAGGCCACAAGTGGTTGTGAAACTTCAAAGTGGACCCGATCGGTCAATAAAGGAATTGAGTTTTTCCCAAAAACTCGGATTTTCTAACCCCTATATCATTGCGATCCGATGTCGTAGATCTTAGATATTTAAAACTATGAATTCTGTTATATCAAATAGTCGTAATTAGAAATCAAAGGTTTACACCATCGGATTGCAAAGATTTAGGGATTAGGACATTTAAATTTGTGGCTAAAACTCAATTCCTTTCATAAACAAAGCTGTCTGGAAAGCTATGTAGTGTTCATACATGATTAACCACAAAGGATGAGTTCGTACCGACGACCTGAAACTCATAAAATTTGACGATCTCAAGGTTAAATGGTGACTTCAGCCTTGAATTTAGCTTGTAAAAGGAACATTTCATTATGATTTCCCACAGAAAGAAACAATTTAACAGATATTATAAATATTAAGAAACAGACAGTATAAAGCTAGAGTCCGTACAATCGTATCTGTAGTTTCACTTTTTGTGAACAACCCTGTATAATGGATACAATGACATTTTGTCCAATGTGTGAGTGGTAACATATTTGTTTCTGCATAGAAACAGCTAGCTTCAATGCACTAATAATGTTATATATACAATGTTATATCACGTATACACCCAATGCATACTACAGGTAAGGGGGATAGGCTTTGTGTACTTTTAAGCGTGAACTGCTCTGCGAATACTGGTTTGTGGTAAATAAACAACGGTAAGATTCTACCTTTGTTTACAATCTTATTATTGTTTTGATAAAACTAGTTCCTATAGCAGTACTAATACGTCACAGCCAAATGTGTACACAAACCTTATCCCCTACTTACACAGGGGGGGGTATGGGGGCTCAGCTCCCCCCCCCCACTAAAAATCATTAAAAATCTATTGTTTCCTGGGTGTTTTCAAGTCCCATCGGGTGCTGAGCCTACCCCCCCCCCCGCATCTGTAAACAAACAAAATTCAAGCTTCTCTCCCTGGACAAATTACTGTGTACGCCACTACCTGCATTAAGCATTTTAACACCTACCAAAGTATAGTGAACATTTATGTCTTATGAAGTAGCGAGTAGCAACTCAATAAAATTGATAAGAAGATGAGATGTCAAAGTACTTTAAAAGTGCAGCCTAGATAAAAGTGTTAACAATTAAATTTACAACGAAAAACTAACATATATATATATAGATATAGTATTTCATCTTTTTTCAGTTAAGTATACAATTGTTTAAATATATATTTCTTCCAAGATATATACAGATAAAATACATAAATATAGTTAATGCTATAAATAAACAACACATCGAAAGAATTTATCAAATGTCATCTTGACAATTTTTCAATGGGTTTTATACTATATTACGTAAATCTCCATGAATATGCGGGAACAGTTTTAAAGAGCTCCATATAATCATTTCATCAAAAAAACTAAATATCTACAACATTCCATTATCAGAAAGTAAAGAATACGTCATTTAATGAATTCTTTCGATGTATGGCTTATTTATGATACAGGATACAGGATACAGAGTATAGAATATAGGATAACGGATACAAGATAAAGAGTAGAGACAATAGGATACAGTATACACTATACAGAATATATGATTATATAATATAGGATTCAGAATAGAGAATATAGGATACAGAACACAGGATACAGAATACATGATACAGAATACAGGATAAAGAATAGAGAATAACAGGATAAAGGATACAGACTACAGGCTACAGGACATAGATTACAAGATAGTGGATACTGAATACAGAATACAGGATATAGGATAATTGGTAAAGGATGCAGGATACAGGATAGAGGACAAAGGATACAGAATACAGGATATAGGATTACGAATACTGGATACAGGATATAGGATACAGAATAAAGGATATAAAATACCGGGTAAAGGACGCAGGCTGTGTAAAATCTGATATCGTTATATCTATTCCCTACACTCATACACTCTACAGCTTTATAAGTTTTAACTTTTTGTCATCTGAAATTTCAAGTTTCAGAAGTTTTTGTTTGAAACTAACAGACTATTTTGAGTAAGATACATACAATACATAAACAAATGATTTATAAGATTCACTTTTTATGTTTTCTATTATTTTCTTCAATACAGCGTGAACACGAATTTTAACTTTTAAACTTAATCTAGTTTTTAAAAGGTAAATTAAATGATCTGACAAATATAGTAACAAGCAAAAGGACTAAACAGATTTCGTGCAGTCGTCTCTGAAGTATCATTATTTGTGGGTAACCCTGTATATCGGAAGGAAACAAAGCAATGAAAAGGGAAAACAGTTCCGCCCAGAACAGTATGCACAATCTCAAGGATAAATTCCAGGAGGACAGTTTTCTACAGAATTTATTTTATTTCTCTCTTTTAGATGTAATATCTAGCATTTCCTGTATATTCTCTCACGGGGATTTAAATGCACTGGCTCATCAGTCAGTGAGTCTTTACTTTCGAGCATCTCTCCCCCCTCCCCTCCACTCCCCGCATCAGTGAACCTTTACTTTCGAACATCTTCCCCCTGCCCTCCATCATGACAAGTAGATTTTAATGTATAGACGTTGTTTGTTGTAATTGTTGTAATTGTGGTTTTGTAATGAATTTTGAATCTTCAAGAAGTTTTCTGCCGGACGTACTTGGGTCTAGTAACTTTGGCGTGGTCCAGATTCTCAGACGTACTTGGGTCTAGTAAGTTTGGCGTGGTCCAGATTCTCAGACGTACTTGGGTCTAGTAAGTTTGGCGTGATCCAGATTCTCAGACGTACTTGGGTCTAGTAAGTTTGGCGTGGTCCAGATTCTCAGACGTACTTGGGTCTAGTAAGTTTGGCGTGGTCCAGATTCTCAGACGTACTTTGAAATTTTGCATTTTATAAAAAAAATTTTAACAGTTTGACAAATATACAAACAAATATCTAATTGAGAGAAACGAATTTAAGAATTATAGAATTACAGCAAAACTATTTTAACATTTTAACAAATACAAACTAATTTAAGAAATATAGAATTCCAACAAAACTATTTTAACATTTTAACAAATACAAACGAATTTAAGAAATATGATATTCCAACAAACGAATGAAATGAATGAAGAAACCGAGTTGTATCTATTTTAAAGGGCCTGTAAGCGTGATTTCAAGTAATCCTCCAGCTGAACATGGCAATACCTGATTCACAATAGTACCAACGAAACCTTTAAATTATCAAGAATGTTACGTTACCCTTTAAACTGACTATCCTATCTTATGATACTCTGTATCTATATATATATATATAAAGTTGTAATCTCTGTTTGTCTGTCTGTTTGTTTGTACGATCATAACTAAAGAACCCAGCTGGACCGATTTGGCTAAAGTTTTGATTGGGGAAATCGGGAGAACCACGGGAATGTTCTTAGCTTGGTTTTGAGATTCTAAGTTGAGAGTTTCGACATTAATATCGAAAAGGAATTGAGTCTTTGCCACAAACTCAAATTTTCTAATTCCTTTATCTTTACAGTTTGATGGAGTACATATTTGATATTTCAAACTTAGATTATTTGATAAAAAAGCTTTCATAGATTGAAATCTCAAAGGGACATTGGGTTGCAAAGATAGATTAGAATAGGGATTAGAATATCAGAGTTTGTGGCAAAAACTGAATTCCTTGAGTTTCGATCACGGTAAAATCGTCCAAGTGCCGGAAAACGGCGGGAATAACTATTTGTAACCTAGGCAACGCTGGGTCCCCAAGCTAGTTTAATAAATTGTATGTTTTTTCATATATTGTATTAAGTATATCTATTGTATTTAAATTTGTATTGTATTTAAGTATATACATTGTATATAAATTGTATATTTAGTATATTTTTTTATATCATAAAAATTGTATAATTTTTATATATTGTATATATAATATCTATTGCATATATTGTATATATTGTATATATTGTATATATTGCATATATGTATATATTTTACATATATTGTATATATTGTAATTTAGGTGTTTACTTCTTGTTCCCTACAATAGAGAATATGGTTGGAACTGAGCGAGGGAGGCAGGTTTACCCCCTCACCACCCTACTCAGGATACCCTGCATCCTCATCCTCTCACTCCTCTACATCATCCTTCCTAGTAAGTTCAGATTTGATGTACAGTTAATGCACTGTAGTTCCACCACACAAAACCAGACTTCCTCGTAAGTATCGTTGTAAGTATATCGTGAACGAACTGTCTAATGGCCCTTCTACCTGAACTGAAATTATCCTTTCATTTATAAGAATTCAAGACACCTTATTACTGTATGGATTATATAGTGTACTGTATACTTTATGGATTATATAGTGTACTGTATACTGTATGGATTATATAGTGTACTGTATACTGTATGGATTATATAGTGTACTGTATATTGTATGGATGTATGATCACTACGGGGTATTGAAGAGGAATTTAATAAATCTTAAGATAAGATAAGATTTTTGATCAATCCATCCCCTAGATTCACAATTCAAAAATTCTGACCTCTTCACTGTAAAATTTTCTAAAATTTTAAACACAGAATAATTTTACAGGGATGTCATATTCATTATTCATGCTAAACTAAAATTTATTTCATTTAAAGGGAGTGTTCGCGAAAAAATGAAAGGAGGTATAGGCTAACGTCGAAACGAGTTCGATACTGATCGCTACTGATCTTACTTCTATCTCTTGTGTCTATTAGTTTTTAATTCAATTGAATTATTTCCGAGCTGAGTGAAATAATTCAACTTCATATTAATGAGTTTAACTGAATGTAAACAATACACGATAAAAAGTTTATTCACTCTAGGATTTATCGTACCCAGCTTGCCCCCCCCCCCCCCGCCATGAAAATTTGACCCAAAAATTTAGTTCCTGTTTCTTATTTCCCGAGGCTCTATGACGCAGAAAGAAAGATTCATGTCTAAATTTATTTTTTGCGTAGGCCTAGTTCTTGTCCAGTTTTGCGTACATTTATTTCTAGGACACATTGACGTAATTCAGATTAGGATCAGCTATGTAGCGGGGTTACTCACAGTACTGAATTTATTCATTCTTTGTTCTTCCATATAGAGGTCCCTTGCAGCTGTAGTTTCAGGTCGTCATCAAAGTTTCATTCTTTGTGGGTAATCATGTAGAAAGCGATGAGTAATAACTTGGTTCGTTTCTAATGAATTGATTAAGGCACTACGTAAAAATTATGACACGTGAATGTCCCAGCATTCTCAAAGACTTTATTTTTAATTGAAAAGTTCCATTAAAGATTTTATTAGAGTAGACATTTTGCGTCATGTAAACTTCAACCTTCGGGCAAAATTCCTTGCTGCAAACTTATTTTTAATTTCTGATGTAGGCTATAGATGAATGTGGCTACTGGGCTACGTACAAAGAAATATTGAATGACGTTTTTTGAAATATAAACAAAGACAAGGCACAATATTTGACTTAGGGTTGAGTTCTATGGATTCAGGTCTACAGAATATATGGATTCAGTTCTATAGAGTGTATGGATTCAGGTCTACAGAATATATGGATTCAGTTCTATAGAGTATATGGATTCAGCTCTATAGAATTTATGGATTCAGTTCTATTGAATATATGGATTCATTTCTATATAATGTATGGATTCAATTCTATAGAATAAATGGATTCAGTTCTATAGAGTATATGGGTTCAGTTATATAGAATATATGGATTCAGTTCTATAGTGTATATGGATTCAGCTCTATAGAAAAGTTGGATTTAGTTCTATAGAATTTATAGATTCAGTTCTTTAGATTATATGGACTCATTTCTATAGAGTATATGGATTCAGCTCTTTAGAATATATGGACTCAAGTCTATAGAAAAGATGGATTCAGTTCTATAGAATATATGGATTCAGTTATATAGAATATATGAATTCAGTTATCTAGAATATATGGAGTCAGTTCTATAAAACGGGATTCAGTTAATCTAGAATATGTGGATGCCGTTCTATATCCAGATCCAATATTTTTCAGATTAGAACTCCTAAATTTTGATGATACATATAAACTAGGTGTTCTATCTTTTATGCATAAATACTTTTATGAAAAACGTCCAGCTTCCTTCCATGATATGTTTATTTCTTTAGCTGAACCAAATAGAACAAAATCGTAAAAACTTGAACGGGTTCTCTTTAAAACTCTAGAATGTTTTCCCTCTGCTTTATTTCCAAAAATATGGAATTCGATTGAATTAGAGCTGAAAAAAACTAAATCTGTAAAATCGTGCAAATTATGCAAATTATATCAGTAAAAAAAAAAACTGTGTATCATGTGGATAAACTTAGTCTTTACTATCTTCATCACCCTGTAGTTCATAAACATGATTTAATAACTTATGTTACCCTCTGTTCCAACCCTTACACTGAGTATCCTCCCTTTACCTTATACTCCCTCACCTCCTCCTTACCATTTTCCTGATTTATCATCATTCTTATGTTTAAAATGTACAATGTACATTGTTTTTATCTGCAATTCTCATTCGTTAATAGTGGGCCAACCAATTAAAACAACCTACTCTGGTTAGGCGGGTCCAAACTACATAGTAAATTGTGATTTTTTTATTTGTATTATCTCGTGCTTTGTAGTTGAATAAAATATGAAATATATAAAATAGGATTCAGTTTTTTAGAATTAGACAATTATATAAAATAGGATTAATATTTAGAATAGGATTCTGATCTATATTTTCGGATTCAGTAGTTTTCAAATAGAATTTAATTTTGTAGTATATTCATATTTTTAGTTTTGTAGAATAGGATTTTATTTTGTAGAAAAGGGTTTCATTTTGTAGAATGGAATGTATTTTTGTAGAATAGGATTCAGTTTTGTAGAATAGGATTTAATTTTGTTATAGTATAGGATTCAGTTTTGTAGAATAGGATTTAGTTTTGTAGAATAGGATTAAGTATTTATTCTGTCCTTCTTCCTATTTTTGTTTCTAGGGCCGACATCTTGTCTTTTTTAGAACTTAGTTTTCTGAAATTCTTATTCAAAATACTAGGAATTCTGGTCGACCTGTATATCAATACAATATATTAGTTTTGATTTCTAATCAGCTTTTTTCAAATTACAAGTTTACAAGAAAAAAAGAGAGGCTGTTAATTGACAGTTTCTCTTTAATGTTTCTATGTTTTTGTGGATCCATGCTGTTTGAAAACTTAGTAGAAATCAATATTGAAATCGAAAGTCGTCTTCATTGTATTAATATATACGGCTAGGACTGTATATTTACAGTTGATGAGTATTCCCTTTAATTTACAGTTTAGAAAGTTGATCTATGCATGTTTAGATAAATTGTTTAAAACGAACTTGGATAAATATCAGTTCTATATTTAGGTAAAGTCAAGCAGAGGATTAACAATGGAAAGGGGTCAGGTGGGAAAGGGAGGAAAAGGATTTTGGTGGAAAGAGAATAAGGATCAAGTGGAGAAAGAATTGTTAAAGGGGGTAAAGGAGAGACAATGTAGGGAAAGATGAAAATGGGGTGCATGGGGAAGGGGAAAGGAGGGGAAAAGGGAATGAAAAAGGAGGGAATAAAAATGAGTGGAAATAGGAGAAGGACAAAGGGGCTTCCCACTCTAAAAGCTGCAAGCTCCTAGCCGGTACATCATTTACTGTTTGTTATAAGCATTCAGTCGTACTGTCCAGTCTGGACTACCCAGTGTAAAGTTTTACAGTATATATAAGTTATAATAAAACGGAACATTTCGTATGAGAGGGAAGAGGGAGATGTATTGATGAGAGTAAACTAATTATAAAAAAAATAATTACCCGTTTTTTAAAATTTAATTTTAACTATTTTTAGAACAAATACTACGAACTCTGCTACGAAGGTTTTTAAAGGTAAAACTATGATATATATTATGTCAGCAAACATAGCTCCTCTTATTGAAGATCTATTTGAACTCTTACATGCTTATATTCATCAAATATTATGCAGATTAAATATTTTGATATTCGTTGTATTGCTCCAACGCGAAACGAATCGCCCTAAATTTCGATAAAAAATGTACATACAATGTATATGTTTCTACATACATGAATATGTAATTATTTAGGATGTTCCTGATAGTGTTTTAAATACTGTACATGTGCTAGCCAACCCAAACTAGTAAGTTTTTGTACATACAGGGGTGCAAGGTTATAATGCAAGGAAAGTTTATTGCAGTTGCGTATACTCTGCGAACATATTGATACCAGTTCTCTGTAAACAAGAATAGATGCATCAGTGTTCGTTTAGTATCCGAGGAGGTTAAAAGCATTGAATTTTGATAATTTTGATAATTAACATAATAGTTTCCTATGACCAGAATATTTCATTGATTTTTTATGTGAAAAATGTATCCCATGTCAGGCTGTGACATCCGTCTTGTGTTTACATTACCGCCCAGAGACAATACACTGCAGTACAAAAGATGCGTACACCTCAGAAATAACTTTCCTTGCATTATAACCTTGCAGGGGTGTATAGCCTTTTCCTTACCTTCCCACTTCTAACAGAAAAGTCGTTACAATTATAACTGGCATTTCTGATTCACAGCCGTATTCTTAAATACCCCAAAATGAATGAGATAGCCGCATCTTGTGTGCGAACTTGTGCCACATAAACAAGAATAGAAATATGTAAATTATAAAACACAATAAAACGCAGTATTTATCAGTTGAAGGTTTAAAGGGTACCGTTGTGAGTCAGACATGATTATTTTTAACTTAACAGGGGAACTTTAAAAACAAGGCCAGGGAGAGGGGTGGTAATTAAACATTTAAATTTAGAAAAACCCTTATCTTTCTATCCTTAGTTCTAATCTTCTTTTGTTGAGTGTGGTCAACCCCTATCCTCTTATCCTTAGTTATAATCTCCTTGTGTTCAGTGTGGTCAACCCCTATCCTCTTATCCTTAGTTATAATCTCCTTGTGTTCAGTGTGGTCAACCCGTATCCTCTTATCCTTAGTTATAATCTCCTTGTGTTCAGTGTGAACAACCCGTCCTCCCTCCTTAGTTATAATCTCCTTGTGTTCAATGTGAAACCACCACTATTCTTAGTTCTAATCTCCTTGTGTTCAGTGCAGTGAACAACTCCTAATCTTATTCTTAGTTCTAATCCCCTTGTGTTCAGTGTGAACAACCTCTATCCTCCTATCCTTAGTTCTAATCTCCTGATGTTCAGTGTGAACAACCACTTTCCTCCTATCCTTAGTTCTAATCTCCTTGTGTTCAGTGTGAACAACTCCTAATCCTATCCTTAGTTTTAATCTCTTTGTGTTCAGTGTGAACAACCTCTATCCTCGTATCCTTAGTTCTAATCTCATTGTGTTCAGTGTGAACAACTCCCAATCCTATCCTTAGTTCTAATCTCCTTGTGTTCAGTGTGAACAACCTCTATCCTCGTATCCTTAGTTCTAATCTCCTTGTGTTCAGTGTGAACAACTGTCTGGTGATGGCTCGTGAGGAACTAGACACTGTTCTTGATCTTGACACAAGTACACTTAAAACTATGGTAACCTACAGCTTCATTTAATTAATACAATTTAAACATTGAAATGAATTTCAAGTCTTTTCGAAATTTATTTATATATTGCGTCGTCTCTGGTCAAATTTTTAAAAACACGCAATATTTATTGATAATTCTGGGATTTCAAAATTGTGTTCTCATGTGTTTTACTCATGCATAAATGAAATAGTTTTAGAGAATTTTGTTCCAGTTACTTTTTACTAAATATTTAAGATAATATTTTTAAAACTCAGGAGGAAATGTAACATTTTTTCCACTAAAAACTTATACCTATTTTTGTGTCCATGTTTAATTGAAGACTGCAGTATATAAAAGAAGTGTTTCAAAGCAATACACCGTAACACTACAGAGGCTGCAATTTAAAAGCTTCGGCTCGTGTCATAATTCCTTAAACCCAGTTTAAAACCCAATCTAAGACCACACTCTGACGACAGCTTGTATCACGTGATTGACAGCTTCGAGATCTTAGGCTCGACTTACGGAGTTAGGCCCAATAAAAATAAAACCGACCTTGGTTGGCTTTAGTTGAGAATAAGGCTCAAGGTTCAATGTCTTGTTCTCATTAAAACCCGGAATGCGCCAAATACAATATTAAACCGGTTTTAAGAACACAACTCTGTGGAAAATTAGATACAACTTAAATCCGAAAGCTCAAGCTGCAAATAAGGCCCAACGACATCTTAGACCTGAGTCGTATTTTCTTGAGTTTTTAAATCGCCGGCAAACATACATACATCCTTACATGCACCCAAACATACAAACATACATACACCCATACACCCAAACAGAGATTACAACTTTATATTTATAGATACTGAATACAAATACAGGAATTTATTAGAATTAAAGAAGGAACAAAACTAACTAGCTCCACCCCCTGGAATTAGAGGAGGAACAAAACTAACTAGCTCCACCCCCTGGAATTAGAGGAGGAACAAAACTAACTAGCTCCACCCCCTGGAATTTAAGATTTTTGTTCTGATTTTTCTTAATCTTGAAACAATCGGAGGGAGCACTGCAAACTATACTCAAGGATGAAAAGATTTAGCAATTGACTTCAGTTTAC